AGAGCTTGCAGGGCTATTCCAGGTAAAGGCAACATTTGCAGACTGGTCTCTAAGTTTATTGCATTGCCCAACACTAAGGATTAGAATATGGCTTCAAAGTGGTGGCTTATGACACTAGGCTGGCAGGTGGGCTGGGACCACCTGTGGATCCAGTAGAATGAGGCATAAAATCAAAGGATGCTTCCATCTCTCTGTAACGAGCTCACTGTGCCCTCTACGGCTGCCTGTAGAAGGATGTAAATCCTGTCCTCATCACGCCCCTTTGGGGAAGGTAGCACTGCCCAGGCTATGCCCTTCAAGCAATGGTCCCATCCCCTGAAAAGGTGAAAAAGAGGAGAGGAAAAAGTCCTTGATTTTGTTTTTCCCTGCAGTGGTAGAAATGCATTATACAGTACACTCCTGATTCCCATTACAGAGAGGTTACATGCTGCTTAACTGAAACTGCATGATAAGACTGGTCACTGTAACACAATTTCCTCACTCATTGCAGATTTAGTCAAGTAACATTAAAAATATGCACTTCTTCATTATTTCTCATTTAAAATCAGTTTATGCTAGAGAAAAAGATATTTATCAGGTTAAAGGGAGGAAACATGTCTTGCATTTTATGCTCTGGTCCCAAGGGAGTTTTAGAATTGCTGTTATGACCATGTAAGTCTTTTCAGAAATACTCATAAGGAAGTTGGGCTCTGTATAGACATTGAAAGTTAATAAAACATAGGCAGTGAATTGCTTCTGGTGCCTTTAAAATTATTATCAGATAAGCATCCTTATTTAAACATTCTTTAAGAAACAATATTCACAACAGATTTAGAAAGGTGTAAAAAGGTGCCTGTTATTTTAAACCAGAAGACTTTTGGATTGAAAATTGAAAGCATAAAGTTTTCTAAATTAATGTTTTCCTGGTTACGTTATAGCAGAAAGCATATTTTTATGAGGACTTTTTCCTCATTAGTTAAGATTTTATGCACATATCCTTTCCCATTGTCAAGTTAAATTTGCTAATGTTACTCGCTCAGTTCATTAACAATCCATGATACCAGCAGTTAGTTATTTTTATTTTAGGCACACTCATGTGCTCAGTTCATTAACAATCCATGACACCAGCAGTTATTTTTATTTTAGGCACACTCATGTTCTGCTCTGGCTTTGAGAGATAGTTGAAAGACTTGATATTTTGTAATATCAAAGACAAAGACAAGTGAAAAATGGATGCAACTTGAGCATTGTATCTGAGAGAGACTGCAGAATGAGCTTGTTATGAATTTTTGGCTTTTGTTTTAAATCCTTTGCTTTGCCTTACAAGGAAAAAAATCATTGGTCTTGACCTATACATTGTAGAATGTGTCTCTCAAAGTAGATAAATAGATTCAGATATGTATTTTTAGAACTGGTGCAGGAAATAAGCTAGTATAAAGAACAAAACAGAAAAGAAAGAGCAGCAGAATATTGGTGTGCAACTGGTTTGCAATATTGGATGATTACAATTTTGTATGGATGAGGAAGGAAGGAACACACTGTTCCCTGGGAAGGGACACATCCCAGGGGGATGGTCATGTGTCAGTCAATTCTACCTTGAAATGGGCAAGGCAAATGTTTACACACAGTCTGTTATTTCAACCCTGCAAACACATGACCACTTGTTACTCTGCTGCAATCCACGTTAAAGCAGCTCTGCCACTTCTGGTGTGAGATTGTACAGCTCTCTGCGGGTCATACTCACCAAGATTGAGCTCCATCATTATGATGGATGTAAAATGCCTCTGTGTGAGTATAGAAATTGGCTACTTTAGGAGCTGCAGAGGTCCCAGAAAAAATTGGACACTTCAGGGCAAGGTCTTTCAAAGCAGTATCAGGCTCCCAGAATTTTCCCAAAAGACTCAGTTAGACAGAAACTCGACAGGTGTTTGTGCTGGAAGCTCGTAACTGGTATAATATATCAGTTACTAATACTAATATGTATACTAATACTAATATGTATACTAATATGTCAAGGTCTTCTCAGGAGCTGTTGCACAGTTGCCCTTTGCATCAGGAGAATCCACCTCTCTTCAAATTTGCAGGCAAGACATTTAGATCCTTGTTCAGTTCCAGTATTTTAGGATGTATAAATGTTGGGGGGCAGGTAAGGATTTAGCTATGACTTATAGAAACTACAGGGAAAAAAGAACTTCAGTAGTCTTGGCATCATTCCCTAGTCATCCATTATATTCATTTTGAGATATAAATTAAATGCATATTGTCTCCAGTAACATTTTTTAAATCTAGCTGCTAACCAAAGGAGCTCAAGAACTGCTGTGCCGTGTCAGGTTGCTGCTGATCTACAACAGCTGCTCTCCTTAACTTGAAAAAAACTACCAGGAATTCATACTTCATTCATTCAAGGCAAATGTTTCAGCAACTAATTGCATGATCAAGGGGTAAAAGAAAGGGGAATCCAGTGGAACTCTTCATGGATGCAAAGATTACATACTTAGCTGGAGACTGAAAGGATAATCTGAGAAGATAGCAACATTGCCCTTATCAAGCCCAGCAGCTAAAGGTATGTTTATGTCTGAATCATGAAGGTTTCTATCCCATAACACTATTTAAATAACCATGTTTGTTTTTTTTTTCCAATTATTGGGCTGAATGTAAAACCATTAAAGCAATAGGAATATATTTATTCCAAAACATCAAACCCTACGCATCTTAATATAGAATCATAGAATCATAGAATCCTTGAGGTTGGAAGAGACCTTAGGAGATCATCTAGTCCAACCCCCTGCTCCAGCAGGGACACCTAGAGCATGGGGCACAGGGCTGTGACCAGGCGGCTTCTGAAGATCTCCAGAGCGGAGACTCCACAACCTCTCTGGGCAGCTTGTTCCAAGGCTCTGTCACCCTCATTGCCAAGAAATTGTTCCTTAAGTTCCTGTGGAACTTTTGGTGTCTAATCATTCTTCCAGTCTTATAGAAATGGGCAAAATCTTTCAGGAAAAGAATTATAGAAAAGCCTTTCTCTTGCATCATGAAAAAACATACATTTTCTCCACTCCCTTCACTATGTCAAGTACTTTTATCATGGGTCCTTAATATATATTCTCTTTAAACTGTTGCCTCAGTTCTTCCGTTCCTTGCCCGCATAAATTCCCACAATGCCTGCAATATTTTTTCTCTAGTTACTCATAACTGTTTCCATATTTTCTGTGAGAAAAAGTGACCAGGACAGAACACTCAGTCCCAGCTAGGAATGTTTCTTGATTTATATCATGCCATTGTAACCTCACTGTTATTTGCCATTTCCCTCCTTATTACTCTTAATATGTGCCTCATATTCAGTGAAAATCCGTCCTCCGTGGTTTATAGACTTTTTTTTACTACTGTTACTATAGACTGTGGAATACATAGACCACCTGTGATAGTACAGAGCATGGACAGGAATCAGTCAATACACAAATGACAGAATGAAACAGTGAGAGTAGCAAATAAAATGACACTTATGTTCAAGAGACCATTCACCGCAATTAGGTCTTTGTGTGAGCTTAGCAAAAGGTACCAAACCGACAGTTCTGGAGTATCATATTCCCTAAGCAAGACCAAGGGATATTCAAGTTACAAAACACTGAGCCAGAAATGTATTTCATCTGTGAGATGGGGGTTGTATCTACATGGGGAGGAAGGAAAAGCTGTTCATTCTCTCTGCTCACTCTAGCCTCTTTCTTTCTGTTGTCAACAGGGGGATGCTTAGTGTGAATTTGACTAGTTTGTTGGAAGGAAGTGTCATATCTAGCAAGACCATATATTAATACATGGAAGAAAGTGTTTACTTATAGTAATAAATATAAGAAAACACAGCAATATACAAACAGAGGTGTTTTTTCTTTTTTGCTTTTTACCTTTTTTCCTATATGGAGGAGCTCTGTTCATCCTCTCATAGCATTTGAACTGCGAATCTATTATCTTCTGTCGTATGACTGAATTTTCAGTCACTACAGGCTCTAATGTAGGATCAGTGTAATTTACAGTAGAAGTAAGACTTGGAACCATTCTCTGTACAGAAAGGAAAAACTGTTAGTACAAGTGAACAAATCAGCAGGATAAACAAAGGATCAGAAATCTCTATGATGCATTATCAGGCACATCTGTTTATCATTATGATTGACCTTTTACTGTTTGCAATGGAAATGCTGAATTTTCACTAGTTTACCTCACTATAAGCTAGAGGTTTTAGCAAGCCTTTTTAAAATCTTTAAAATCTTCTCATCTGGCAGAGTAGTCTGCAAAAATATTGTATATAACTCACTAAAGTTACACCCATCTATTTCCTCTTACTGATACTGATTTTTCTCTAGACTATTCAGACATATATCTTTATTAACATACATATTTTATGTGATGTGCTTTGAGCTCCTTCAACTGATAAGGTAATAGAAACACAAGGCAAAGAGTTTTAACCTCATGTCTGGCCTTAGCTCTTAGGTAATTTAGCGAAGTGTTCCTAAATTTGAGGGTTCAAATGAAAAAGTCCCCTTCAATCAACAGGAATCTTCTGACCTTTTCCATTCAGAGTTCCCTGCAGGGCATACAGAAGGATGATTGCCTCTATTAGGCAAAATCTCAGGTAGATAGGTCACTTAGAGGAGAGTTGACCCATCTCCATCCCTAGATGCTTCTCTCTGCTGCACAACCCAGGTCTGTGAGCCAGGGAAACTTTAGCTCAGTTCTGTTCTGCCTTAATCTTGTCTCAGGGCACTTTTCCACATGAAGGTGATAGGAAAGGATTAATCCCCCTGCTTTCACAATGAAAAGCAGAGCTGCTGTGGCACTTTTCCTGTTTAATCTACTTTTTTGCCATGCAAAGCTGTATTGAAACCGTCACAAACACTTATAGAGTCATGTGTGGGCTGCTTCAAAACATGAGACCAACATAAGCAGACAGGTTTGATGTTCTTGGGAATCTCTCTTACACAAGGCCTAGATTTCCCCAGACAACAGTCATGTAAATGGACTTATTAAAGGTATTTTTGCAATATTTTCCTGACGTGAAAGGGCAATCTAAGGTTTCTAGAAGTATGCTTCAGATTATATTGATCATCTTCACAGCACATTCAAAACTGAGATTTGTATTGGCGCAAATATGAGTACACAGTTTTTCAAACAGAAAACATGGCAGGTTTCAAAGCACAAGCATCATCTTATTTCTCAGCTTGGTGTTTTCCTTTTCTTTATCCAATCCCCAAAGCACTTCCATTAATACATTGCTTTCTTTTCTATTAGTTTAACTAATACATCTTGATAAAATGCATAACAAAGACCATATATTTGAATTAGTTAGACAAAATAATGTAATTACTTTACCATTTTACTTCTGTGCCAAATCATCACCATCTAATCTTTTTATACTTTTAAATTTAACTGATGTGTTCTGGAATTTAATATAATCTAATCTCTTCTGATACTGATATTTTCATTTTCACCTGTATGCTATTTTAAGACTGTGGAGAATAATGAAGAATTTTTTATCATTGCACTGAAATACTTACTTGATATGAAATGTGAGGAATAGGATGGAAAATACTTTCTAGTAGATACAGTTTTATTTATGTATAACTATATATTACTGTATATATATATACATAACTATATGTAACCATATATAACTATATATGTGTATATATGTTACTGTATCTACAGCTCATAAATAGTGTTGCAGTTTCATTTGCTTTGTCTGTACAGAAGAAAGCACAACACATATACGAAATAACTGACAAATTATAGATATACAGACAGAAAGTGTAAGTACTTGTCAAGTGCTTCAGAACATCCTTCCCTTTTTCTGATTGTGGCATCCCCTCTATAAGGCCTTTTTTTTGGTTTTAATGACAATGCATTCCCACATGATCGCGCACTATAGAAACATATCACAATCTGACATCAAAAGCCAGCAGAAAATAAATGATCTAATTTTATGTTGTAATTGGTGAGGATGTAACAGTTTGTTACTGGGGATATTTTTTTAGAGTGTAATACAATTCACCCTAAATTGAGGTGAAAACACCTTACTCTTAAAAGTCAGTTCCATTACTTACTCTAAGTAAGAGGCTAATCCAATTCCTGAGGAAGTCATCTCTCACCGGGTATAGATCGAGAAGAATATTTTAATATTTGGTAGCAGCTTTTTTATCCAGTGGTAGATGGGATAAGTATTTTGTATTTTGTACAGAATTATTTAAACTACTCAACCATGTAATGAAAATGATTCTATGGTCTCTGAGGAAGGTAATGCTGGCCTCATTGAACCTGCTAGCAAAATTTCTTTTGCTCACATTTTGGTCAGTAATTCAGTCAGAGAGATTAAAAAGACAGAGGAGACTGTGTCACCAAAGCTCTGTGGAAACTACTTTTGGAAAAAGCACAACAAATTGGATTTTTAGTTAGTCACACAAATATTTCCATGCACTTTTGATATAATCAAACATCTTGTGTGCAAAGGCAAATTAAGAGCTATACATAGGTATCTTACTAGTATTGTTCATATAGGTGTGCTCTAGAATGTATTCCTCAATTTGGTATCTATTACTCCTTTCTATTTGCCTATATTTGAAAAGCTGGCCCGTGGAAGTCTGAGCAATATTTTCTCTGTCTTAAAATCTGATGAGCATTTTAACTGATTGAAGTAAAAGTGGTGCTTGCTGGAGTGTGAAGTGGTCATATCGCCATTTGCAATGTCAATAGTTTCTAAAGTTCAGAGGAGAATAATGTCCATGACCACTTTAACATACAGAGCCTAAAACCTGATCTCCTTAGGGCTAATGCCAGCCTTCCCACTCATTTCAGTGAGCTTAAGATCCAACCCTGTATATCTGTGACTTAATCTGCCAAAAATCTTACTACTGTTTGTGATGTTCGATATTATTAATTTTATTTTTCTTCAGGTCTTTACTGGGAAAATAGGGCAGAAAGAAATATCTGGGTCATTTTCTTATCAGAACTAGAAGAGCCCTGGACATGAATGCATAGGGAGGAAAGATTAATGCATAGCATGTTCATGTGAAACACTGGGAATGTCCCTGTGCCACACACACACACAGTTGGAAAAAAATGAATAGGAATCACTTCTTTATTACATTTTGAAGATCACACCTAGATATCTGGGGAATAAAGTTTTAAAACATATATTTTTATGATAAAAAAGCCGAGACCATTTTCAGCTGGTTAGTACTTGAATATTGAACAAATTCTAAATTCTCATAGTCAGTCAGTGCAAGATAAAAACCCTTTCCATTCTTCCATCTGCTATTTCAGATAGAAGTATAAGCACTGTTGATTGATTGATAAAATAAAGTAGAATGCGTCATTCATGTAAAATATTCTTTATTAAAGAGAAACAAATAAATTACAACTTAATAGTCAGGATGTATTGCATAGCCTAAAAATGATTAGTATGATTTCTTCTGAAGAAAACTGTTTAAGTGATGTCCCATGCAGCAGTTTAGCAGCCGTACATATGATGTCACTCCTAAAAGTTCAAGTAAATGACGTCATACATACGACCACCAAGCCACCACGTGACAAATGACTGCTATAAGATGAATTATCATTACAAAGAGAAATAAATGCTTGGAATGCTGAAGATCACTTTATACCTAGAACTCATGAAGCAATCAAAAGAATTTGGATTTGTTATTAATCTATATTAGAAATCATCAATTAGTGCAACAATTTCTGTAAGACAGGTAGTTCTTTTTAACCCATGGAAGATTTTCCCCATTTCTGAAAGATATAATCCAGATAATGAGCACATAAAATTCGGTTGTTTCATAAAATACAGACATGACAAACAAATATCCCCAAATACTTTTCTTTTATCATGAAGAATTTTAAATTGTACAGACTGTTACTGATATGTGACATTTAGGACATAAAGTATTTATCTGTAGCTTTCTTCCTATTTTTTCCCCCTGCTTCCATATTTTGCAACACTTATTGTTGAGCTCAGTCAAACTATATTTCAAATTTGGATGCTGCAACTATTTGTTATTGGCTTTGAGAGCTCAAAAATACATTTTGACCATTTGCTTTAAAACTGCTGTAGTCACCACATTGTGGGTCACTATCTCCTTGAGTGCGATCTCAGCATGACTCAGCCCAACTGCAGAGCCCTCGTATCTTAGTTATGTTTGCACTGCTTTTCACTGCATTAGGACAGTGGAAAAGAAAAAAAAAGGCAAACTGTGATGCTTTCAGAAGGTCATTAGTGCATGGTAATCAGTAAACATAATAATTTTTTATCTATCACAAATGTGCTTGATAAGATCAGATGATTTCTCTGGGGAAATACCTCAACTCAGCACGTTTTGTTTAACCACTGAATATAAAAATCTTTAATTGCTGTTGAAGCAGGATAGAAAGTTATGTCTTACTGAGATTCCACCCAACTTAAATTTCAGATTCTAGCAGCTGTTTAAACAAGCAAGACCTCATCATGAGCAGATGCAGACAAGGGATATTTAATTAAAAACAACTCATGAAATTCTTATAGTTCATTTCCAGTGCTGCAGTATTTTTGCACACAAGCCAAGCTTTACTCCCAGGGTAATCTGATAGAAAATATGGGTTTAAAGGAAGACTGTAAAAGGCTTCATACCTTTTGACTGCAGCTCTAATTATAATCTTCTTTTAAGAGTCCTTTTTTAGGGTAATCAGCTGCACAGCAATAATTTTTTTTTAAACAAAGATGGAGATAAAAATTCTGATCACCCCTGAATCTTATGTGCTAACTTTTAAAAGTTGCTATTCCTCTCCCTGATGGAAAGCCATGACCAGCTTAGTTCTGAAAGTAAGTCTCACCAACTCAAATACATCAGTAACATATTTGTTTTCACAAATTTTCTTTGTATGAGAAGAGCTCTTGAACTTGCAAGTCCACTTTCATACAGCAGGCAGCAATCCCATTTACGAAGGGAAATATGCACTTAGGATACCCATCTCAAAGACAGTACCACAGATAATGAGGATCTCTCCTTGCAGATATGAGGTGAGAGGACAATGAGGTAGTGGTTAAAGTGTTCCTGCACAGCACAAAAAGTCAATGATCTGATGATGCTGGCAGATTGACATGTGCCAGCAGGAGCTTCAGCGCAGCTAACCAAGGAGGTCTCAGCTGGGTATGTCCTGAGGAGCTGGAGGAGCCTCTGAGCTCTAGGCAAAGTAAGAAGGGGAGGAAGGAAGGTATTTCATGAAGCCGAGGGAGATGATTGACAAATCTGTGATGTTCCTTCTGACCCAATGACAGGTGAGAGCTGCTCTGGACTAGTTGCTGGACGAGCTGCTTTCTAGGCAGGAAAAAGCTTATGGCTTTACTAATAGTTATCCACTGCGTGCCTCACATGATCTGTGCAGATGTGGCTTTTGGAGACTCATGGTAAAGCTTTTGATCTGGGACGGAGGCAGGAGCCTGCTGGAGCGCACAGGAGGGCTGCCATCCCCCGGGCCTCTATCCTGCTCACCGCTGTGAGCAGCAGCGATCAGGTGGGCACACCATAAGCACTGCCCTCATTCAATGGCAAATGCTTTACTAATTGGCTTCTGGAGATTCAAACCTTTGTAACTGTGTAAATATGCCAGTTTGTGTAGTTGCATAAAATTACAAGCTGCTTTTTAGGTTTTCATTGTACAATTTCCCTTGTTTTGTGAATGGAAACTATTCCAAGAGTTCATGAGCCTTTCAGCTAATCAGACACAATATGAAAGAGTATATAGTGGCTTAGTGGTTTAGGCTTGGTAATGATTACAGAGATTGGAACTTAATGAACACATATATTTGGTTTCTTTCTAAGAATGAATCTATTGTAAAATACAATCTTGGTCTAATGGATCTAATTGAATAAATATGACCTTCATCTGGAGCATTCATTTTATCTTTACTAGGCACTTTGTGGTTAGCACAGGATGACAAAATGGGACCATACTTTAAATCTGCCTTTTTTTTACAGAGTAAAAGATCACATCCTGAGTTAGATTCTAATGCTAAACTCTAAATGCTTACTGAGAAATTGAAAATGTCAGGAATAAAGTGAAATAAGAAATATTATTTGAGAAGAATTTTTACAATTTCTAAGGGAATTCACTTTAACTGAAAAGCAAGGGAATACCTGATCATGGTGGCATATCAGCAAGACAAGGTATCCTAAAGAAGGGAAGTCATCAAAGAGGTAGGCAGCAAGAAATTAGCTTTATATCTAATAAATGAGTTCTGGTGCAACTGGTGCTCCAGAACTAATGGCTTCTGCTAATAGCTTTTAAATAGCTTTTGCTTGACAAAGCAGAATTATTATGGCCTTCTAGCGCAGAAAAGTGCTATCTATTCCAGGCAAAAATGAAACATGTAAGAAAAAGGGCTTCTATCAGAAGGGACAAAAGAGACTTGGTGATGAGTCTAAGGCTAGAGAGTGTGGAGAGGGGAGTTAAGGACACTCTATAACTGGGATATAGGGTAAAACATTCAATGAGAGACATGGGAGAGAGTCTTCTGCAAAGCATTGAGGCTGTGCACAGGGCTAAGTGCTCCAGCACCGAGGGTGTACTAGTAAGTTCCAGCTACCGGGGCACAAGGAACTAATGGACACAGCGCAATCAAGAGCAGCTATTCAGAGCTTCCTTCAGGAACACGAGGGTGGATGGGGAATTAGGTGGCACCAGGCATTCAAGTAAGTCAGACAACACCGAGGCAGAGAGGTGCTTAGCCCCAGCAGCAGTACTGAGATACACATTTACTGCTCTGTAACTGAGGCTGATGATTACAAATTGCTTGAAGCAGAGAATGGGGAAAGCGTTCCACTTACTTACAGGAAAGAGATTCAGTCAGAAACTAATTTGCTACATTTTAGAACAGTAGATATTGAGTCATGTTGTACATACTGGAATAACAGAAATATTGAGATCAAACAGTTGAAATACAGTTTGAAGTGAATAACTAATCTTTATACTGCTATTTTCCCTTTTGGTTGCATTTCTAAGAGCAGAATAACTATAAACAGGGAAACCCACAATTAATTAGGTCAGTCCATCTCACACAATAATATTACGTAAGTTTTCAGAAGTATTAGTTTCCATGTCACTGGTACTTTGCGGTCTGTAAAACATGGAAATCAAAAAACACATGCATTACCCTGTTGGGCTTCCAATGTCTCATCAAGAAACACTGATTACAAGTTATAGCTTTTATGAAATATCTAATTTTGGAACTTTACTAACTTTGTCCCAATATTTATCAACAATAGAATTCATTCCATGACTTGTGATGTACAGGAAATAAAACTCAGTACTTATTTTTCTGAACGTCAGGTTTAAATTTGGCAGGGGTCATGAGCAGTTCATTTTTCTCATACTTACAATTAGAAGGATAATCACTAAGAAGCAACTGTAGGTTGTTTTTTTCATTGTGGATTCTTTCTGGAGAGACATACTGTAGCTGACACTTCTGAAAATGAAACAATATTAAAAAAGCAGTTTTAGACTTTATTTGTTTTGATAATCTCATTTTCTTTATGTGTGGGCATCTTTTTAAACTTTAAGTGCACTGTAAGCGCACTTGTGTGCGCTTGTGTGTGTGTGTGAATGTATATTTGTGTGTGTAGCTCCACTCGAGTGTGCTTTTGTTGGGCAGGAAATGAAAGAGAAATAAGGACAAAGGAACGCTGCGTTGGGACCTCACCAGCAACCTTTTTCTTGGGATTCTTTTTTTCATTTTTTCTTACTTTTTTTTTCTTTAACCAAAACCCCTCTGACTTTTCTGGGAACAATATCCATGGGCTACCTTATACCACCATATTTTTTGGCAGCTGTGGGAGCTTAGCAAGTCAACCTGTTTGTATTAGCACGTCCTTCCTAGTTTCATAAAAAATGACCTTCCATTATTAGAGTCAGAAACACTGCTTTTATGAAGGCAATTTTTGATATCTTACAAACCACCAATGTTCACAGCCAATGTTCACAACATGACTATAGAGCATCTTCTACCATAAAGAAGTAAGAAAGTGAACAGCCTGTTGCACCTTAGCTATTCTGTCAACTTAGAAAACAAGAGTGAGGTGTTTTATACCTGGACAAATAATCCAGTGAGCACTCAAAGTATCTGAAACCGCAAATTTAATTAAAAAAAAAAAAGGCACACAGACTTGGATGTTCAGTCTGGTTTACATGTACTGAGGAATACAATCACTCAGACAACATTTGTCTCAACAACAGCATTGGCACAGCATTTCTTATGTTGAAATGGTCTGGAAAGTCATCCATTTACAGAGGGGAACTTAAATATGTATCAGTTGTAGTCTTTCTCATCCAAAGAAGAAATATCTCAAGAGGTAATGATAGTAAGGCATTTCTACTGAAATAACTTGAGTGGATGTAATATCCTACCAGATCAGAATGGAAATGTTGCAGTCATATGTCACTGAGATTACATGACAACCAAACGGATGAAAAAGAGGGTCCAAAGGATTTGCCTCTGATAATAAGTAGCCTTATCACACTGTCTGAGCCTTGCCAAAACCATTCTGGTGTGACAGAGGTAATGGGGCAGGCTTATGACACAAAAATTATATGCAGTTACACTGTCAGCTACATATTTGTACCTGATCAACAATGACAGGCAACTGGAAGCAAAAATTGGACAGCTGGATCAGAGGAAAATGCTTGTAATTGTGTGCACCTTCTTCAGAATAATAAATAAAATCAGTAGCAGTTCAAAATTGTAAAAAGGATTCATGAGCAGATAAAATGTGGGCCCTGATCAGCTGCCCAGTCAGCAGGTATACGTGTGTCTTCACATGGTTTTGCAGTGTAATGTAGAGTTTCTGCAGTGTAAAGATGCCAGTCTTGCAGGTGACTATATTCTTCTTACTTGTCTCGTACTTCTGCTGCATCTATGGGGAGATGAGAAATTGTGGGCAAAGGATTTTTCCTTGCTAATGGCTGATTCATAAATAGTTTTAAAATACGCATCATTTGCTGCAAATAGCACAACGGCACTACCGATTGACTACTAGAGATGAACACTACACGTGCAAAATCAACAGCAGATGAAGTTATCAGTAATATATCTACTTTTTCTTTTGGAAGCACTCACAACATTATTTGGGGCTATAGGTGTAGCTGCGGGTGAGATATTGAGATACTGATCCTAGTGAACATTTGTTATTATATGCAAAAAGCACTATTTAAAATGTTTCTTGTTCCCAGCTCTCCTCCCAATTAAGAAAAAGCCATCTGTAAAGTATTTCACACATTATTTTTCCCCTCTGTTAACCACAGAGACTGTGCCATATGCTACTACATTTGAGTAAATGAGTAAGAATCATTTCCCACACTGAATCTTATATAGTCTTGATATTTCTTGTCTTTCTTGTTCTAGCCAACTTCAACCACAGGAATGGCTGACATGCTACATAAAATCCAGCGCCTCTTTTTATTTTATCTTCCATAGGAGTCTTTTCCAGTGACAACAATTTAAATAGGATAGACTCTAACAACACAAGTAAAATCATTTCTGGCTGCTAAATGACTTCTCATTATTTTATGACCCATGAGAATGGCCCTAGCACTGCAACACACACAGGTTAACACCAGTGTCGGATCAAGAATCATCATCATATTGAAATGAAAAGGTAGGTGCAGGTAAAAAGCATTGATCAAAGGACAGGGCAGAAGTGATGGGCAGGCAGAAAAGTTCACAGAAAGTGGAGTCCTGGAGACAGCCCCTGTTGACCTCTAGATGAAGCATCAGAAGTTCAGCATCATCATAGCTCTGCCTCCACCTCCTACCACCCCTGTGGCCACCCCTGAGTCTGACAGGACACACTTGGATGTGTATCACACTTAGGTAGTGGGGTGTCTGACTCTTGTGTTACACATACCATGTATTTTATGGCAACTCACATTACTGCCTATAGACAGTCTAATGAAAATCTGATAGAGACTGGGTAGCCTAGAGGAGTCTCAGGCAGCGCATAGCCGCTCTGGGGCTGTGTTACTCCAAATACAGAAGGATAAATCAGAAATGAATCTGGTCCCTTGGCCACATTCATACCATGATTAGCCATATACTGCCTTTGGTGGTAGCAACCTCAAAAGGAATGAGAGCCCACCTCCTCTGCTTATCGACCCCTCTGCAGCAGCATCTTCTGATGTGCAGCAGGCCGACTTCTGGCCACAGCTGTTTAGGGCTATGTTGTAAAGTAGAATGTTTGTTACCAGTGCAGAAAATGGAGCAATAAATTCTAATCTTTCAAGCTGATTTATGCTTTGGTATTTTAGAGGGCTCCACATTGCAGATGTTCCTAGGGGTGGATGAGGTTTTCCACAGCTTATGTTTATTGGAAGAAAACAACAGGAATTACAACTACCAAACTGAAAGTTCTTGTGGTCAATGGTAATGGAGATAATTATTATCTTTAATATGGTTCACAGTGACACAATAATTTTCATTTGCTGAAGCTCACAAGCAGATTTTATATATTGTTCTGATTTCTGTTTCTATACTATTTATCCTCTTTTCCATAAGCCTAGCAATATCCTTGCTTGATACTTCACATATTTAACTTTTATAACATTGATATTTAGTGATTAATCATAAGTACATTTTCAAAGCCCAGTACTCTTCCATGATCATATTAATTTCATCTTCTGTTGGTTGTACTAGTATATATGAAATCCCAATCTGTTTTTTAAACTAGAATACTGTACTTTATTTCTTTGTTAATGTAATATGGCTAATTATGTTAGCTATATTCCTTCTGCTTCAGTTATTAAAATAATCATTGACTCCTTTGGATTGGTCACCTGAGGACCAGCATAACATCCTATTTAATAGCGGCATCTCTTTTGGCCCTGCCCTGATTTCTAGAGCTGTGACAGTGAATTGATCAGGGTTTTAATTACAGTTATCATAGGACTGCCCAAAAGGTGACACAATCCTCCCTCCTTAGCCATTTGTGCAAGTGGCTTCAGCTGGGCAATAAGGACGATCAACGAGTGAGAACACAAGGCAGAGCACCTGGGCAAGACACAGGGAAGCCCACAAACCACACTGTTAAGTGTCTGTGAAACCTAGGTCAAAGGAAGGGGTTGCAGGTCTGTTGGCCTCCATTTTGCCAATGCAAAAGCAGCTTGGGGAAAAGGCTTAAAAGCATCCTGCATTCCCAGCTGTGCATCTTACTACCAGGTTCCTTCTGGAACTGGTAGTCTGGTCTCCAGACTTCTGCTTAATCACCTGGAAGACTGGACTTCTGCTTAATCACCTTCTGGGCCAGGAATCAGCTGTACAATCATGCTCTTAGAAAACTAAGAGAAGGAAATAGCACTAGTCCCTGCCATTTCCTAAGCATGACCTCTAGTCATCAGCCCGCAATGGTCTGCAAAACTGTTTATTGGCACCGTGATATTCTGACAGCCACATTTCCAATGGTAATGGTGAGCTCTTTTCAGTTCATTCAGGTATATGGGAAGGCTGGTTACTGTCAATCTCAAGAGATATCCCAAAAAATACAGGCTCTGGATTCTCAATTTCAGATGTCAGGCCCTGAATGTGTAATTCGTAGACATCTAGGTCACTTGCAAGATCTTATCATATTCCTGCTGGCAGTCTTGGAGATGATTTCACTGTCAGGGAGATAAATGTGCAGTTTCTTGATGATTAACTAGTTGTTACTGAAGCAGATTACCATTAACTTCAATTACCTTGTTTGGCTTAGATGGTGAAATGCATCGGCAGTAATGAATGGGTGCAAATGGAAACTATTAGCTATGGCAAACAGGCAATCCCAGAGCTACACAAGATCAAGTGACCAAATAAAACTACTTTATCAATTCACTTGGGTTATATAGAAACTTCAACGTTTGATGTTTTGTTTTCCAGATGAAAACCATTTAACAAGAAGGGGCTATATTACTTCAGACTTTTTTAATTTTTTTTTTCAAATCCTTGTCAATAAATCAGGTGAAGATCAAACGAAACAGAAAACAAGCTACAAACCTGGCTCTGTTTACATCTATGGTAATCAGACAGTTTTGAAAAGCTCCTGCACTACACATCTGAGCAGCCAATGCAGTCAGAAATACTCAGGGTTGCATGACAGAGGTGATTATACTTTGAAAGAGCAAAAAGTGCAGATGCCACATTACAAGAATGTTCTTCGAATGAGAATTATTTACCTGAAACTAATAATATGAGAGGCAAATTACCCAGAAGGTTTTCAGAAAAGATTCAACCTTTTTATTAGGCAAAAGCACTAAAGCATTAAATTAAGCTGATTCTACTGTCTACCTGTCACAGACAGCTGCCAAAAGCTTGGGTGAGGAGCCCATGGGAGGTTTCCATTAACTAAGAGGGGAGGTGATGTAATTAATGAACATGTGGTTTTTAGGTCCTGGAAATTAGATGAATTCCATTTGTGTTATATGTTGATCTGGGTACAG